ATGCAGTTCAGGCTGGCCTTGAGCTCACTTTGTAGCCCAGGCTGGTCTCGAACTCTCAAGGATCATCCTGGCTCAGCCTCCCAAGTGCTAGGATTACAGGTATGTGCCACCATGCCCTGTGACCTACTCTTTATTTTAAAAATATATATATCCAGATATTGGAGAAGGTGGCAGAGGACGAGAGTCATAGAGAAACTTGTCCAGGCCACTTCTGAAGAGCCCTGTCCGTTGATTGCGAGGTACCTGGCACAAAACAGCGCACCCAGCAGCCTCCTTGGTGAAGAGGTTTCTCTCCATCCTCATTAAGTCACGACTGGGGCCATGATTGCTGGTGTAGAGATGCAAATCAAAATTTGTTGGGGCTGGGGATTTAGCTCAGCGGCACAGCGCCTGCCTGGCAAGCACGAGGTCGTGAGTTCGATTCCTGGTACCAGAAAAAAAAAAAAATAAATAAATAAAATAAAATTTGTTAAAATGATCCCACCAGAAATGTGGGAGGTAGGATATTGTCAAACACCAAGGCTCTCTTGAAAGCCTATGACTCCAACCAAAATAAATGTTTAATGCATCGCTCGCAAAGACTAATGAGTATATTTGGGGCATATATTATCGCAGAGTACATTAGAACCATTTCATTCTTCCATTTATTTCACAGACAGAGAAACTGAGGTCCACAAAGGGTAAAGGACTTGACCAGGAATAAGTTAGCTCTCTTCTTCTTCTTTTTTTTAGTGAGTTGGGGTTATCACGATTGCAAGTAATTCCTCAATCTAATGGCCCTTTGCTTTCAGCATGATATTAATGAGCCATTCTTCTGCAGAGTGATTTACCGCGGGCAGGCCAGACTGACCAGCAACTTTCGGGGCTGCTCCGGACCTTGCCGCCCCCACCACGGCCAATCTATAACCCGTCTGCGCTACAGGCTACTCACCGTTGGCCCTGCCCCAATCGGGATGAGGTGAAGGTGGCTGCCTGCCACCCCTGGGAGAGTCCAGAGCCTACCGGAAATCATCCCTCTTCCCACGTGGCCAACTGGAAACTCTCCAGCTCAAGAGGAGCCAGGGGCAGTGCTAATGTGCAGCACAGCAGTTATGAACTCCATCCCTTTCCCAATTCCACACTGGCAGTGCACTCCCCGGAATCTGAATGGGTTGGAAGCCTGTGGCCAGAAAAAAAAAAAAAGAAAAAAAAAAATCTTCAGCCTGGAAGAAAGCAGGAAAGAAGTAAGGTGACACTGGAGCTAGCATTCCTCTCCAACTTTAATGTCCCCAGCAGTCACATAGGGACTTGAGGAAGTGCAGATTCTGATCCAGCAGGTCTGGAGCGGAACCTAGGAATCTGCATTTCCGAGCAGCTCACAGGTAATGCCTGATGCTGCTGATCCAAGGAGCAGCCAGGCCCCTGAGAATCGCAGCTCCCGGCCCCAGGCTGGGGGCTCCCCTCCAGCAGAGCAGTGCCTGTGTTTTTTTGGCATTGATGAAGGGTGCTCTCCTTTTGACCAAAGAAAGCTGGAAGGTGGGTAATTAGCCAGATCCTTCTGCTACTCTTGATCTGTGTAACAACCTGCTATAGTTGCAAGAGCATTTTTAATTAGACCAAATCATCTAGTTTGGCTGTCCGTAGAAATCAAAGCCCCAGTTGAATGTCCCTTTCATTTCGCTAGTGTGGAGATGGCTCATGTGCTGTGATTTTTAAGATGCTGAACACTGCCTGTGGGCATATTTTATGGAGAAATAAACACACAGCCCAATGAGATGTATAGTGTGGTTTTAATATATTGTATATTCACTTATTTATGGGGAAAATAAACACACAAGCCAATAAGCTGTGTGTTATTACTTTAATATATTGAATTTATTTCATACCTATGTATTTTATGAGGGAAAATAAACTAATAAGATACACGATATTATTATAATAACACATCTAATTGTTCTATATTAATTTATTTATGAGACAAATAAGTGCAATTTAACATGACATAAGATTATTTAATGCACGAGATGAATTCTGTATTAGGACAGTTTAAGGGATTAAATTCCAGCTAAATAAAATGTGGACTTCCCACACTGAGGGAGTGGTTTAGAAAAATATGCAAGGAGCCTGCCTAGTCCTATATGTCACGACCTGTGTTGGCTCCTGGCTTAGCCTGACAGCTGCGGCCTCTCGGTGCCTGGTACCCTAAATCCCCGTCCTGCTGGCCCAGGGAAAAAGTCTGGGAGGCCCAGAAAATAAACCGCAGCATCTGCCAGGAGGTAGCCCCGCGGTGTCTGTTTCTGAGCCCGAGAAATATTAAATAAACCGAAGGAGGATGAATGGCTTTCCAGGGCCCTTTAAATCTCCACGTTCCCGAAGAACAAACCAGGCAGCAGCTGGGGGAGATCGATCCTCGCTTCCCGCTCGCCCGCGTTGCAAGGAGCTGGGAAGGGTTGCCAGGGGCGGGGCGGGGGTGCGCAGAATGGGAGGTCGAAGAGGAAAATGAAGTTGTTGGCTGAGACGGGTGGGTGTGCATTCTGCAGGAAGTTCTGGCCGGGCTTCAAGTCCCAGAGCCAAGGATCAAAAGTGACACTTGTCGAGAGGCAGAACCCCAGGCCCCAAAACCCACTGCGGGTCCCCTCCCGGGTCCCACGCCCACGCGGACTGTCCTTCCGTCTCGCACGGCCAGCACATCCGCTGGGCTCATTGTGAGACCCAGGACACGAACCGCGCGCCGAGGCGGCCGCGCCCCCTTCCCCC